AGGTGTGGAGAAACATTCTCTGACAACTGGCGAATTTTTCTCTTGTCTCCGACTTCGACAGCCTGTTTGGCCAAGAGAAATTGTCAAAAACCGCATTTTCGACAGTGGTGCGGCAAGGCCCCTACTCAATAATGTCGATACAATGACGGCAATGCTTCTCCCTTCACAAAAAGGGAAAAGTAACAATATAATACCTTTCTCAGCTTTTTGGCTAAGATCAAGTGTAGTATCTGTTCTGATCAGTTTAATATCTGATCCGTGGTCCATCGGACCACACGATATTAAATTAATTTTTCTGGGCTTTGGAGGGGTCGTATGGGTAAGATTGCTTGCTCGACCCCTTCAGCGTCGCCTCTGTATTGCACTGCAGCAGACTGCGGCGCGGCCCTCCTCCCCTCCGGCGAAAAAAAAAAAAAAAAAAAAAAAAAAAAAAAGTTACACTATGGGCCGGCGCTATACTCTGGAAATGTGCAAAACGACAGTGAATCTTCAGCTAGAACATGGAAAGATATGCCACCATGATTTTTGTCTTTTGTGCATGGAGGGACGCGCTATGGCTTCCATTCTCTGAACAAAAGGTGAGAGCCAAAGGGTCTCGCTCCACTACTGTCCACTATACAAAAACGGACAGTCGTGCTTCGCTCCACTTAGGGTCTCGCTCCACCACTGTCCGCTATACAGAATTTCGGAGAGTTCGCGTATAGCTGTCGGAGTACCAAAAAACAAAGATTTCGTGTATAGTCTGCGTCGTGGCTCCACTTACTATCCGCTATACAACTCTTCAATTCCTGAGCTCACTACAAAACACCCTAAGAGCACTACAACACAGCAGTTTGTCAACCCAGACTCCAGCCGGACTATCCGATTTCGTGTTCGAACGGCGGCCTCCTTCGAGGAGTATCCGAGTAACGAGTTTCGCAGACTGGGAACTATACACCGACGGAGAGTGAATTCTAAGACCGATTTCTGATAGCTATCCAAGCGATTTCACACGTGTATAGTGTACAGTAAGTGGAGCGACGCCGAACTCTCCGAATTCGGAGAGTGTATTGTAATGGAGCGAGACCCTTACTGTCCACTATACATGTGCAAAATCGCTTGGACAGTTTTCGCAAACCCCGTCGAAAATCTACTGTCCGTGAATGTACAGCTCCCCGCCTGCAAAATTCATTACGCGGAAAGTCCTTCACGGGATTCACTGTGCGGACCCCAATTTGGACACTGCACCTACAGTCCAGGCGGACAAAATCCGTTGGACGCCCTGTTTTGTAGTTCCATCACTGCGTCGGGTAGTGAACTGACGAATTTGCGACGTGGACAACGGACAGTAAGTGGAGCGATGTCGCATTTTCCACCGTCCGCTGTACAATTTTTCGCTCTGAAAACAGTCCGCCGACTGTCCAAAAAATTGTACAGTGGACAGTAGTGGAGCGAGACCCAAAGTAACAGAGCCCTTTGGATCTGTCAGAATCTAATGGACGCAGTAAGAGGCACGCCACACATAGCTCTCAGAAAAAAATCGGCTGTCAACAGTTTACCCCGGCTTTGCCCTACAAGCTGTCGACGAGGAAGGTTTTTGGTCATGGCCAAATGGACTCCACCTTTCCACAGGGCACGGTGGTCATGGAACAGTCCCTAACAACGCAAATTTGAATACTATTCTCGGAAGGAAGGTGGGGCAGTTTTGAATTTCCGGCTTCTGCAGGCAGGTGGGAGGACACGAATGGTGGAGGGTGGCTTTCGAGCGTACCATTCTGACACCTCTTGAATTTTTTTTGAGCCGCAATTCTTCAAAAGTCAGTGGCGCGATGCACAATTGTCGAAAACCAGGGTTTGAAAGGCCGAGAAAGACGCAAACGGCGGGCGCTACGTCGGGTGAAGGTGCGCTAATTTCCGCGCGGAATCTCTCCACAAGATACCGCCAGCGAAAATTAGGGTTAGGGAAGATTCCCTCGCCATCTGGCGAGGAATTTCTCACCATGGCTCACATTGAGCAGGCGAGATGACCTCCCCTTACAGCAGCTCATTTAGTACTCAGCCTACCACTGCTAGAAGGACTATATGTCTCCACAGCGAATTTATCTCCAAGAACTCAAGACAAGAGCCCAGACTCAGTGATGGCCAGGAAGCCCGTCTTTAGTCGTCACAGTGTCAAAACCACAGGTAATAATTCCAAGCTCCCAAACACACGACAGGGTACGCCTTTGGGACTCCCTCCTAGTCGAATCCATACTTACTAACTATATTTATAATCATTATTTTTTGGCTCGTCCGGGCCAAATCTCCGAAAATGGCAAATGCGGGCCCCTCCGCCCTCGTCAATGTGGGCCTGGAGGAAAGGCAGAGAATGATGAAGATTCTGGACGACTGTTACTCCAAGGGAATCCTCCCAGAGGAATTCCCACCACGGGTGGTTGAATCTGGAGAGGACTTCGTCCAGGTTACTGCAAACAATGAACTCCTAAAAGTACAATCGGAATGGCTGTCTGATCACGCAGTATCAATTTTCTTTGGAAATGATTCCTCCTCCTTACCCATTTCAGTTAAAAACCGCTTGGTTCGCACCTATGAGGAAGGATGGGCAAAATCCGGCTCCATCGATGCGGTACCAAAAAGAGGTATTTTCAAAAACGAGGGTAGGAACCTCGTCACTTACATGGCGAGCGAAAAGGAAATCGCCAAATGAATGATCCGAAAGGGAAATGACAAAATTCATCTCGACGACAAAACTTACCCTCTGCACTTCAAACCATGGATGCCCGAAAAGGAACGCACGAAATGGAGAGATACGCTGAATCTCAGTTTTTATTGGGTGAAAGCGCTGTTAGTTCCAGTCTCCGTGCTCCCACATCTCAGAGGTGCAGTCAGTGAGGCGTTCGATAGTATAATCAGGGCTAAACCTGCCTATGCCGACCCTTGCGCCCTTGACCTGTGGAGCATTCGCTTCGACTTGGTCCCGGAAGCAAAACTCCGATACAAGCGCCGCCTGATTATCGATATGGAGGAATGCGGAAAGGTTGAAATAGAAATGGCAGGAGCGGACTCCCTATGGTGTAAGAACTGTAGAAACTTTTTTCACTCTGAGGATGATGCCATATGCCCCATCAACGCGCGAAAAGTCTCCGCTTTAATCCAAAAAGCGGACTACAAACTGGCACTTCAGAAGGAAGTCCAGCCGGAAAAAAAAATGGCAAAGGTTAATCCCAAAGGAACTGAAGAGGAAATTCGTCGAAATCCTGGTGAGAAGGCGAAAGGTGGCATAGCCAGGGAAAATAAAAACGATGAGAGAAAGGGAGTGGAAGGGAAAACAGGGAGAGAGGCAGAAGGAAAAGCGGTCAGAGATACAAACGGACAAAGGACTGGAGAGGAAGAGGAGGAGGAGGAAGAGAAGGAGGAGGAAGAGAAGAACGGGGCTTGAAAGTTGGTCAGGAAGAGGAACAGCAAACCAAAGCTCAAATACAGGGAGAA